ACTTATTAGCAAAATTCTATAGTCACAGCTCCAAGGCGATTCGCCTACAGCATACGATGAGGCCAACTTACATATCCTTTCCATTCACCCCTTCAAATGAAATGAAAGGTACTCCAACTTAAATGACAAGACGTGGATTGACCTCATTTTTGCAACTTGATCATGTTGTCAGGTGGACTAGTTGGCTGCACTTTGTCCCAAGTCCTCTGATATAGTGGTTATCATAATTCCTAGTGTCGGGCCGTGGACTTGTTATATTTTCAGACGTTTCGCCGGCACATCAATGAATCTTGTCATTATCAGCATCAAGCTACAACTCTTCAAAGAGACTAGTGAAGTCAATCCTTTGACTATTCCTTCTGTCGAAACGGTTGTGCTATCACTTCTCTCTATGTCCTGGCCCATCTATTTACTCCTTACCCTCTTATCATCCGCTCTGTCACAACCTCTGACTTGTTTACATTTCACTCGTCAAAAGGTGTGTCTTTTTTGGCAACTTTAGTCTGGCGTCATTACATATGTTGTTTACCTTGCCCCTATCTCTTTGTATTGGCTGATCCAACTCAGGCTTCTATTATGGTCATCCTCATGGTCCTTTAGAGCCGTTTCTTATCTTTCTGGTTGATCGATTTCACTCGGTTCCAGTCCCTGTGTACGCTATTTCTTAAGCCTTTAGAAACACATACACTGTCGCCTCACCAAGCAGAGCATCTAGGCTCTTGCAGACATTTGGCATTGCTTTCAAGGGTCGTCTCCTTGATTAAACCCATGTAAACTGATTAAACTGTGGACGCCTATTCTTGATCGCATCCTGCATTTCGAGTGGATTTTTAGTACATTTTGGCCATAATGCCGAATTTCTGTGACGGTTGTAACTATTCGTCTCCCTGATCATGTGACCGCCAGGCCCCGAAGTTGTAATTATTTCTTCGAGTAGACTACATTCACTGAGAACGTCTTTGCTTGATATCTGAAACTTCTCCACCCCCTTCCTTCTCGCGATTATTTTCCCTCTAGTTAATGATAGATCCTTGATCCAGGTGTCTTCTTTTTGCTGATCTTGACATATCCTTGTTTTATCTGGGTTTGCTTAAGTAATAGGCAAAGTTACAACTAACTCTGCCTTCCTCCAATCTTTTCTTCATTAAATTTTCTTCCAAAATGTCAATTGCCTCTCTAATCTTCCGCTTCCTTGTGTTGTCACCGTACGGGGCCCTTTTTCTTTTGTCTTTCAATTGATATCGTGTTCAGTCTGTGCTCTGTTCCGCTAGCTCTGATATTTTGGTATTCATTTTCCTGCAGAGCTTCTGATGTTCCTTGATTCATGTGCTAGTTTTTCTCCCTATTTCGCCAATATATTTCTGTTTGCAGGCGCCGCATGATATACAGTAAACTCCTGAACAATCCAATTCATTTACTGTTGCGTCGGTAGACTTGTGAAAAATGTTGATTTCTCTTTCATGTCCACCTAAGGGTATTCGGATTGGAAGCCCGAGTTGGATCAGCCGATCGAAAGAGAGTGGGTTGGGGTGAATATCAACTGTGATGAAGCCACACTAGATTTGCCACAAAAGGACACACATTTTGACGAGTGGAATGTAAACAAGTCAGAAGTTATGATAGGGCCGCAGTGGGATAAGAGGCTAAAGAGTGGATAGATAGGCCAGGACAGAAAAATGAGTGATAGTATAAGCGTTTTTGGCAGAACGTTTATCGAAGGATTGACTTCACTTGTCCCTTTGACGAGTTCGTAGCTTGGTGCGGAGAATTGCAAAACTCACTGATAATGCCGGCGAAATGTTTGAGAATGTACCAAGTCGACAGTCCTACGCTGGGAATTATGATGGCCACTAGAGCATAGGACTTCGGACAAGGTGCTTCCAACTGAGTCCTCTTGACAATACGACCAAATTGCGAAGACGAGTTCAACCTATTTCTAAACATCGAAAGGAAACTGCGATCATACCAAAGGCCACACCATCTTGGTCTTCAATCTTCGATTAAATGATAAAGTTAAATATTATCGTACTCAATTATTCTTTAAAATTTTGTCATTGTAACTATTTTCTGTCTATTTCCTTATTTCTTGAAATTCCAGGGTTTGAACAATCAAAATTGCGAATGGACCAACGCCATCTACAGATGAGGCATCAGATAGTTAAGAGTCAGGCAAAGGATTACTTTCTGATTAAACGCCAACAGCTAGCCAAACGTCTTGAGCTCGAGATGAACGAAATGAAACAAGTATGTGCTTGTTACTTGCTCACCATAAGCATGTTTCCAAAATCACTTCATCACAGGTTTGCCTTGTAACCCAGTAGCGCTCTTTACACTGTTGCGTTGTGCTAACATTTCGAAATTATACTTTGTATCACCCGAGTTCGATTCTTGTTCGGATAAACAAGAGGCCCTGGTGAAATTGAATCGGCAGTTCATCTTGGATAAGAATAGCTTTTAGAAACAAGGCTAGGATAGCTTGATTAGCATCGTGAGGCATACTCATATAATTTTAATAAAATGTTATCTTCATATTCTTATGCGATTTATGGTGATTACAATTTGTATCTAAAATCACAATCGAATGTCTGAATTTCTTTAGTATTGTCTCGAACTCCTTTCGCTGTGTAGAGGCTGCTTAACTTTGCCTTCGCAACGTGGTCGCATTGTCAGGGAGACCTAGAGGAATGCACCTTACTTGGAGTCCATAGTATGCATGATAATTTCCAAAATAGAACCCTGGATATGCCTACCTTCCTGCGTACTAACTCAAAAACTACGGCCAATATTGAGTAAATGGAATATTCAGGTGGCCATGAAAGAGAAATCAACA